CCGGGCTGATCCGAGGTAATGCAGCAGCCGACATATATGCCAACATATGGAGCACATGGTGGCATTGTGGCAAACGCCGCCGCGGCAAGCTTAGCTTGTTCAGGCGCTAAAAAGCTTTGCGTTGCAGCCGCCAGATGGCGCGCCGGCGCCCAGCATGTGTTCGTGGATTCGGGTTTTGTGGGCTCTCCAGGGGTTGCTGGGTGCTCGGATGTCACTTTCGAATTGGACCCCGAGGGCTGGGGCGGCCTCCACGAGGTATGTCTGGGGGCAGGAGTGAGGCCTTTGGAGGGAGTGAATGGGGTCAGCCTGCCAGGTGCTTATGCTGCCCCTCCGCTTCCGCCACCTCCCCATCAGCCTCCGCCGGAGGAAGTCGTTGTTCAGGTCTCGGGGGCTCTAGGGGGTTTTAATGGCCACGGTGTTGTGCAAGCGGATCTCCTAGGCATCGAGGGCGGTGTGGAGATCCAGCCCGATGGCGTAGTTTGTGGTGCAGGTCCTGTGGGGCTTCGATGTGTCGGCAGGTGGAGGGAGACGAGGGCCTGGGTGGCCCAGGTCAGGGACGGGACCCTCGGCCCCAGGGCTGTGCTGACCCAGGGGTCTAGGAGGAGGAGGAGGAGGAGGAGGAGGAGGAGGAGGAGGAGGAGGAGGCGGATGAGGAAGAGGCGGATGAGGAAGAGGAGGAGGAGGAGGAGGAGGAGGAGGAGGAGGAGGAGGGGGAGGAGGAGGGGGAGGAGGAGAAGGGGGAAGGGGAAGACTTCGGAAGGCGCTTTTCCCTCGCAGGGTGAAGGCTCGGATCGGCGACGCGTCGGGTCCGTGGGCAGCGCGTGTGGCAGCCTGGGCGCCGCGGCTCCCGCCCTGCAGCTTCGTGGGGGCCGCGGCGGCCGAGGCCGCCGCCTCCGGCGGCCAGGGCGGGCCTCTCCTCGTTGTGCCGCGTCGTCTGCCACGCATGACCTCTCCGTCCCCTCTTCCGTGGCTCTGCTTCCCCGATTGCCTCTGCAGAGTGTTTGCTCGGTGGTACCCGCGGGACAGCACCAAGGAGTCTCCTCTGCGAAGCGCCTTGTCCGGACGAGGCGTGAGCTCGGCGCCGCGTCTTGGACTCCTGCCCCCCATGGCCAGTCTAGTCTTATGTCGGGCGTGTCCCCCTACAGGGTGATTTTCGACGAACAAATAAAAATACCCCCAAATACTCCCAAAAGGTCAAAAATACTAAACAAATAGTCCCCAGACTATTTTTGGAGTATTGTTTGATTATTTTTGAGTATTTTTCCCAACCATCCTGTGGTGTTGGGTCCTCGTTTTGAAGAGACGGTGCCCCGCGTTCTCCTTCCTTCCTTCCTTCCTTCCTTCCTTCCTTCCTCCCGCTGCCTCCTCCCCCCTCCCATCATCATCATCATCATCATCAACACCCATTTCGGCACACCCCTCACACGTTTCGTGGCTCCATAGGGAGCTCCACCGAAGGCCCCAGTGCCCGCGGCCGCATGCGTCCCCCACACCCATTTCGGCACACCCCTCACACGTTTCGTGGCTCCATAGGGAGCTCCACCGAAGGCCCCAGTGCCCGCGGCCGCATGCGTCCCCCACACCCATTTCGGCACACCCCTCACACGTTTCGTGGCTCCATAGGGAGCTCCACCGAAGGCCCCAGTGCCCGCGGCCGCATGCGTCCCCCACACCCATTTCGGCACACCCCTCACACGTTTCGTGGCTCCATAGGGAGCTCCACCGAAGGCCCCAGTGCCCGCGGCCGCATGCGTCCCCCACACCCATTTCGGCACACCCCTCACACGTTTCGTGGCTCCATAGGGAGCTCCACCGAAGGCCCCAGTGCCCGCGGCCGCATGCGTCCCCCACACCCATTTCGGCACACCCCTCACACGTTTCGTGGCTCCATAGGGAGCTCCACCGAAGGCCCCAGTGCCCGCGGCCGCATGCGTCCCCCACACCCATTTCGGCACACCCCTCACACGTTTCGTGGCTCCATAGGGAGCTCCACCGAAGGCCCCAGTGCCCGCGGCCGCATGCGTCCCCCACACCCATTTCGGCACACCCCTCACACGTTTCGTGGCTCCATAGGGAGCTCCACCGAAGGCCCCAGTGCCCGCGGCCGCATGCGTCCCCCACACCCATTTCGGCACACCCCTCACACGTTTCGTGGCTCCATAGGGAGCTCCACCGAAGGCCCCAGTGCCCGCGGCCGCATGCGTCCCCCACACCCATTTCGGCACACCCCTCACACGTTTCGTGGCTCCATAGGGAGCTCCACCGAAGGCCCCAGTGCCCGCGGCCGCATGCGTCCCCACACCCATTTCGGCACACCCCTCACACGTTTCGTGGCTCCATCGGCCCCAGTGCCCGCGGCCGCATGCGTCGGCACACCCCTCACACGTTTCGGCTCCATAGGGAGCTCCACCGAAGGCCCCAGTGCCCGCCGCATGCGTCCCCCACACCCATTTCGGCACACCCCTCACACGTTTCGTGGCTCCATAGGGAGCTCCACCGAAGGCCCCATGCCCGCGGCCGCATGCGTCCCCCACACCCATTTCGGCACACCCCTCACACGTTTCGTGGCTCCATAGGGAGCTCCACCGAAGGCCCCAGTGCCCGCGGCCGCATGCGTCCCCCACACCCATTTCGGCACACCCCTCACACGTTTCGTGGCTCCATAGGGAGCTCCACCGAAGGCCTCAGTGCCGCCGCCCGCATGCGTCACCCCCACCCATTTCGGCACCCCCCCCCGCATTTCTCGCACGGCAGGGTCATCACCACGGTGGCGTGCCAGGGGCGCACCATGCGCGAAGGCGACGGGGCGGGGGAACGGCGCTCCGGGGGCGGCCAGACCTCCGGGGCGCGAGCAGTCCGCGGCCAGACCATCTCTCGGTCCTGTGGACTCTCGCCCTGGGCCGTCGGCTGCCCGGCGCGCTGCTCCCTCGGTCGACGTCGCCCAGGCGTGATCCTGGATTGCGGCCGCCACGAGGTAGGGAACGGCAAGAAGGAGGACGACGACTGGTGGCTGGAGCTCTACGTGCTGCTCTCGCGCGCCACGCGCCACGAGGACCTCCTGCTCATGCGGGCGCCGCGCATCGAGTTCTTCTTGGCAGGGCCGCCGCAGGGCTTGCGGAAGCAGCTGGAGCAGTTTGCGGCGCGCACGAAGCGGTGCAGGAGGGAAGCGACGGCCCTCGCCAGGGAGGTCGGCTTCACCGAGTTCATCCGCAAGGCCTGACCTGAGGAGCGTCTCCCCCGAGCCGCGCCTTCTCTCGACTGCCCGACTAATTGTTTGGCCTCGCGCCGCGGACGACCCGCGCGCGTCGCTGGGACCCTCTCGGGGCGACCAGCGCGCGTCGCGGGAACTCCGTGCTGCGGGGGGCCCGGCGCCTCGTTCGCCCGTCGTCGCTCTGCCCAGCGGTCAGAGACTTGCCCGCTATCAGCCAGCCAGTTAGCTAGTCAGCTCTCTCTGCTTCGCGCAGCGGACGACCCGCGCGCGTCGCTGGGACCCCGCCCGGGGCGACCAGCGCGCGTCGCGGGGACTCCGCGCTGCGCTGCGCCCGCAGCCTTGGATTTTGGAGTGCGCGGGCAAAGAGGAAGGAAAAGAAGAGCCGAAAGCGGGCGCGATCCTCGCAAGAGGCGTGCCGACATGGGCGTCGCGACGTGCGGACGCTGCCGTCGGGGTTCCCGCGGAAGCTGCCTGCGGCGGCCACGCCCAGTGTCACGTGTGTTCGGACAGGCGTGCTCGACACTTACACTAGGCGGTTCCATGATCGCATTCATGCAAATATATTCACTCGCGCGCAGACCCATTCATACTCAGATTCCCTCGCGCTCTGACTCACCCGCGTTCTTTCTCTCGTAATCAGATCTATCGTATTCCTTTGCGTTGTGTACCCCGCCACATTTCGGCACACCCCTCATGCGGTTCGTGGCCCCATAGGGAGCGCCACCGAAGAAGATACTCACAATTGCGATACTCACAACTGCATATGGTTGGGTCCTTCGCCAGGATAGTTTATTTTTCGTCGAAAATCCCCCTGTAGGGGCACAGGCCCGACTTAAGGCCAGTTTAGTTTCGGCCTCCTCCTCCTCCTCCTCCTCCTCCTCCTCCTCCCTCCTCCTGCGCGCGTCCCCTCTGCCGCGGGCTCCTCCTCCGTCCTCCTCCTTTGTTCCGTCCTTCCTCCCTCTTCTCCTCCTTTCCTCGAGGGTGGATCGGCCTCCTACCCTGACACGGCGATGAAGGAATCGGCGGTTTTCGGTTCGCGAGAGGGCGTCGCGGCCGGCATTTTTGCGGGTCCAGGTCCGTCGGTTTCGGCCCCAGGCCGTCTTCACTGAAGGGCGGTTTGCTAAAGGGAGGTTTGTCCACCGCCGATTTTCTTTTTTCCCTCCTGCCCCGAGCGTAGCAGGAGGGATCTGGGGCCCGCTCCTTTCGCTCGCTCGCCTCAGCCCGGCGAGGGAAGTGCCCGATCCGATCCTCCCCCCCCCCTCCCTCGGTCCCTCGTTCCTCCCTCGTTCCTCCCCCGTTCCTCCCTCCCTCCCTCCCTCCCTCCCCCCCCTCCCTCCCTCCTTTCCCCCTCCTCTCCCTCCCTCCCTCCCGCTTTCCTTCCTCAGTCTTCGCCCTCCCCCTGCCGCCGTCCTCCTTTTTTCATCTTCATCCCTCCTGTTCCGAGCGTGGCGCGAGGGACATGGGGCCCACTCCCGTTCCTTTCGCTGGACTGTGTCCCAGCCTGGCAGGAGAAAGTGCCCAATCCAATCCTCCCCCCCTCTTTCCTCCCTCGGTCCTCCTTCGTTTCCCCTCCTTCCTCCCTCCCTCTTCTCACTCTCTCCTCCATCGTTCCTTCCTTGCTCGTCGCTTTCCTCCCTCACCCCTCCCACCCCCCGTCGCTCTTCGCCCTCCCTTCCTCCCTCCCTCCCCCCCCTCCCTCCTCCCTCTTGTTCTCCCTCCTCCCTCCTTGTCTTTTCTCCTCCCTCCCTCCCACCCCTTCGGGTCTGCCCCCCCCTCACGGCGCCGCGAGGCGCTCCAGAGCCAGCTGGCCAGCGCGGAGCGCGGGCGGGACCGCCTGCAGAAGCGCCTGGAGGAGGCGCCTGCCGTCGACGCTCGCGGCCTGGTCGCGGGCCAGCCGCGGTTCGGCCGCGGCGGCCGCGCCGACGACGGCGGACGTCGATGACCACGGAAGACGACGACGGACGACGACGACGAAGGGGACGACGGACGACGACGACGACGACGACGACGGCGACGACGACGGCGACGACGACGACGGACGACGGACGACGACGGACGATGGACGACGACGGCGGACAACGGACGACAGCGAACGATGGATGACAGACGACGGACGACGACGACGAAGACGACGGACGACGACGGACGACGGATAACGGACGACGGACGAGGACGACGGACGAGGACAACGAGGACGACGGCGACGACGACGACGGACGCCGACGAACAACGGACGACGGACGAGGACGATGGAAGACGACGATGACGACGGGCGACGGACGAGGACGACGGGCGACGGACGACGACGACGACGACGACGATGGGCGACGGACAAGAAGCCGATGGCGACGACGGACGACGACGGCTACGACGGTCGACGACGACGGACGACGACGATGGACGACGAGGACGACAACGACCGAGTATGACAACCAACGATGGACGAATGAAGACGAACGACGACGAACGACGGACGACGACGACGGCCGACGACGACGGCGACGACCTCGACGGACGACAATAACGGACGGACGATCACTACTGATGGCGATGGACGACGGACCACGGACGACGACAACGACGACGATTGACGATGGACGACGACGGACGACGGTGACGGATGACGGACGACGACGGACGACAGCGACGGCGCCGACGACGACAGACGATTTCGATGAACGACGACGGACGACAGATGGGAACGATGGACGACGATGGTGACGACTTACGATGACGACGTTTTACGACGACAACCACCGACGACGACGTCGACAACGCCTGAAGACGACGACAGCAAACCCACGACGGATGACGACGGAGGACAGACGACGACGGACGACGGACGACGATGAAGAAAACGTCGGTCGACGACGACGCACGCCGGACGACGACGACGGTTGACCCCGATGACGGCGACGACGACGACGGCGACGGCCGGCGAAAAGGACGAGGGATGACTGACGACGGACGACGACGACGACGACGAGGACGGAGACGACGACGACGACGGTAGACGACAACGGCAACGACGACGGCAACGACGGACGGCGACGCCGAAAACGGCGACGCTGAGGACCACGGACGAGGACGGACGACGAAGGACGACGACGACGGAGGGCATACGACGACGATGACGGCGACGACGTCGAAAGGCGGCGAGCGACGACGAACGACGATGACGACGACCATGGACGACGACGACACACGACGACCGAAGGACGACGAACGACGGACGACGACGGCGAAGACGACGACGACTACGACGACGACGGTAATTAACGACGACGGACGACGACGACGACGAACGACGGCGATGGCGCCGACGACGACGGACGACGTCGATGAACGACGACGGACGACGGAGAGGGACGATGGCCGACGACGAGGACGTTTTACGACGACGATGGTGGACGACGACGGTAATGACTACGGACGACGAGGTGACGGACGGGGACGAAGAACTTGAGCGACGGTCAACGACGACGATGGCCGACGACGACGACGGACGACGATGACGGCGTCAACGACCGACAACGACGAGAGATGACGAACGACGTCGACGACGACGAGGGTGACGACGACGACGATGACTACCACGGACGGGAACGACGCGCGAAGCGGACGACGTCGACGCCGACCGCCGTGGACGTTTGGCAACGGACGATGGAGTCCGGACGACGACGAGGTCGACGACGACAAGTACGTCGACGACGACGACAGACGGACGACAACGGGTGACGACGACGAAGACGACGACGACAACGACGGACGACGGACGGTGTCGACGACGCTGACGGGCGACGGGCGACGGACGACGACGATGATTGTTGACGACGGCGGCGACGGTTGACGACGACGACGACAACGAGACACGGCGATAACGACGACAGACGACGAAAGGGGTGACGACGAACGACGACGACGGAGGGCGACGACGACGATGATGATGATGATGAATGAGGACGGCGACGATGACAGTCGACGATGATGGATGACGACGACGACCGCGACGCCGACGACGACGGCGATCAACGACGACGACGGACGACGGACGACGACGACGACGACGGACGACGACGATCAAGGCTACGGCGACGATTATGATGATGTTGATGATGATGAGGATGATGACGATGTGATGATGATGATGATGATCTTGATGATGATGTTTGTGATGATGACGGACCGCGACGGACGACGACGACGACTGACGACAGTGACGACGACGACGGACGACGACGAGGACGGACGACTGGGGCGACGACGACAACGGATTACGGACGACCGACGACGACGACTGACGGGGTCGACGGCGACGCCGACGACGACGACTGAGGACGACGACGACAGACGACGACGACGTCGTCGACGATGGACGACGTCTACAGACGACGACGGACGACGGACGACGGACGACGACGACGACGACGGCAGACGGCGGCGACGAAGCCGAAGATGGCCGGCGACGGCGACGACGACGACTACGGACGACGGACGACGACGACAACGTCGGCGGCAGACGACGACGAAGGCGGCGACGGACGACGACGACGGCGGCGACCACGGACGACGGCGATGAGGACAGACGACCTTGACGACGACGACAACGACGGCGATGACGACGACGACGACGATGGCGGCGGCTGCGGCAACGTCGTTGACGACGACGACGAGGAATGATGACGACGACGACTACGGACGACGACGGACGACGACGACGACGACAACGACGACGCCAATGACGGCGGCGACGACGACGGACAGCGAAAGGAACGAGGGACGGTGGACGAAGATGACTACGACGACGAGGGCGACGACGACGACGACGACTGTTGACGACGATTGACGACGACGACGACGGCGACGACTGACGACGACGACAAAACGGCGACGACGAGGACCACGGACGAGGGTGGACGACGAAGGACGACGATGACGGACGGCTTCTGACTTTGATGACGGTGACGACGTCGAAAGGCGACGAGCGACGACGAACGACGACGGCGACGACGGCCGATGACGACGACAACGGACGAAGACGACACACGACGACCGAAGGACGACGAACGACGGACGACGACGACGACGAAGTCGACGACGGACGACGACGATGACGGTAACGACGACGGACGACGACGGCGACGAACGACAGCGATGGCGCCGACGACGACGGGCGACGTCGATGAAGGACGACGGACGACGGATGGGGACGACGGACGACGATGAGGACGATTTGCGACGACGGCGACGGACGACGCCGAAGACGACGACGACGACGACCGACGACGAAAGGGGTGACGACTGTCGACGGCGAACGATGACGAAGGAGGACGGTGACGACGAAGAAAGAGGACGACGACGACAGACGACGACGATGAACGACGAGCACGTCCGCGACGTCGATGACGGTGGCGATCAATGACGACGATGGACGACGGATGACACCGGCGACGGACTACTACGGCGAGGGCTACAGCGACATTGATGATGACGACGATGATGTTCATGATTGTGATGATGCTGCTGTTGATGACGATGATGATGATGATGTTGATGATGATGATGATGATGATGATGATGATGATGATGATGATGATGATGATCATGATGATGACAGACCACGACGGACGCCGACGACGACAACTGTCTACAGTGACGACGACGACGACGACGGACGACGACGAGGACGCACGACTGCGGCGACGACGACAACGGAGTACAGACGACCGACGACGGCGACGATGACGACTGACGAGGTCGACGGCGACGCCGACGACGACGACTGAGGACGACGACGACGTCGACGACCGACGACGTCCACAGACGACTACGAACGACGGACGGACGACAACGAAGACGACGACGACGGCAGACGGCGGCGACGAGGCAGAAGACGAAGACGACGACGGCGGCAACGACGACGACGACAGATGACGTGGACGACGACGACACCGACGACGATGACGACGACGACGACGAATGATGACGACGGCGACGAATGATGACGACGACGACGACGGCTACTAACGCGACGACGACGGCGACGACGGCGACGCCGACGACGACGACGGACGACGATGATGTCGGCGATGCTGGCGACCACGACGACGACGACGACGTCGACGTAGAGGTCCGAGCGGTAGCGCCAGGAGAGACCGCCGCTTGGCCCGGAGAGTTCTCGCCGTCCTGGCAGGCTCCTTCTCGGGAAGCGGGCCAGGGCGCGCACCGGTGTGGGGCGTAGCGACATCGGTTTGCTCTTCTGTCCTGCCTCGGCCTCCCTCCGCCCTCCTCCACTGCCGCCTCCGCAGGGGAGGGCGAGGTGGAGGAGAGAGGGAGGGGGGAGGGAGGAGGGGAGGAGGGGGAAGGGAGGAGGGGGAGGCGGAGGAGAGGGATGAGGGGGAAGAGAGGAAGGGAGGAAGGGAGGATGGGGAGGTGGAGGGAGGCGGAGGGAGGAGGAGGAGGCGGAGGAGGGGGAAGGGAGGAGGAAGAGGCGGAGGAGGGGGAAGAGAGGAAGGGAGGAGGGGGAGGTGGAGGAGTGGGAAGGGAGGATGGGGAGGAGGGGGAGGAGAGGGAGGGGGAAGGGAGGAGGAGGAGGAGGAGGAGGCAGAGGAGAGGGAGGAGGGGGGAGGGATGGGGTGACACTGGCGTTCTGGTTCCTCGCAGTGTCTCTGTCCACATGGTCGCCCCGCCGCCGCAGGGCGCGGAGGGTCGCCGCATGGCTGCAGCGCAGCGCGTGGGAGGTCCCTGTCCTCGTCCTGGAGATCGTCTGGCTGCGCGCGCAACAGGATGGTGCGACGGCGCCAACATCGCAGAGCGGATCTCGTTCGGAAAACCATGGGATGGGCCTGGAATGTCCTGGAGAATCTCGTGCCGGATTTCGAAGTGAATTTCGTGCGGAATTTGTTTGGTCAGGAATGAAGGCTCAAACACATCCACGTGAAATCCACTTCGTTTTTCGCTCGCCGTTTCGAGGTTTTGCATTGCCAGAAACCCACGCCAAAAATTTGCTGCAGCACGTCTGCAAGGTCAGCGCAGTGAATAGTGAATAGGGCGATGGGGGCGGCCTTCCAGGAAGTCGGACGGCTTCTTGGAAGGCCGCGACGACGACGACAGACGACGTTGGCGACGACGACGGCGACGACGACGGCGACGACGGCGGCGACGGAGACGACAGACGGCGACGGACGACGACGACGACGACGACGACGACGACGACGACGACGACGACGACGAGGGACGACGACGACGACGGCGACGTCGACGACGACGATGGCTTCTTGGAGGCGTCGGGCTTCTCAGAAGCCCTCGCGGCTTGGAAGCCTCCGAGCGCTTCCCCAAGAAGGCCCCTGTCCTTTGAAGAGGGCCCCCGCCGTCTCAGGAGGCCGGCGCCCTTGCGCCACGCTCTTGGAGTGCGCGCCGCAGATCGTTGTCTTTCGCCTTCATCATTGTCAGAACCATCCCAAACCCGACTGGGGCAGAGCACAGTCAACCCGCATAGTAAGGATGGGCAACCTTCCCAAGGGTACCCTTGCATCCTTGCCTTCTCGGTCCATCCTGGGTCACTTTCGTTCGCCGCGCCGCGCTCGGAAAGCTTCGAAGTGGTCGTGCAAGACTCTTGCATCCTCATCGCGCATCCTTCTGGAACGGGCCGACTGTACGGTAGGTTCATGCAGCGTTGGCGCGCTGGCGACGCCGGCGAAGGCGTTCAGGGTCGAAGTTTGACGCGGATGCACCGAGGGACGCGGTCACGCCCCGGGACCCGACGGAACCCAACCTGGGAACGATCGGGGCCGCGATCGATTTGAGGTGGAACGATCGGCACGGTGTAAAAAACCTATGCGTGCGCCTGCGCCGCTCAGACCTACCGTAAGCTGCATAGCTCTCCGAGCGATTACCCCCCCCAGGTGAGTGGTGAGAGGCCTGGATGAGACGGCACCCATCCCACAGTACCTAGTTAGTCAGGAGGGAGAAAAACACACAGAGACAATTAATCGTCGATCCCCAGGAAAAGGTGGGAAGTATGGGAAGCGGGGGGAAGACGAAACTCCAGAAAGTATAAGAAAATAAGGGGAATCCTGGGATTTGTGTCTATGCATTTGTGTGTCCCAGGGCCCCTTCAGTTAGGGGGTGGGGGATCGGTCGGTAGGAGGGGCCGAGGTTTCCTTGGCGGGCTGGAGACGTTCTTGTGAGTGCAGACGTGTTCTTCGTCCTCCCTCTTCTCCTCTCGAAGAGGAAATAACGCCATAAACATGGACTTTTGACGCTCCGCGCTGATCTCTTGGATCTGCGCTGGGCCTCCGACGCCGCCCCTGGCGCGCTCCGCGCGCCAAGGAGGGTGGTCCAGCGCAGATCCCAGAAATCCGCGCGGAGCGCCAAAAGTTTGTCTTTGTAGCTGTTTCTCTTCCTCCATCCTTGTCCTTTCCCTCCGTTTCCTATGTGCTGAGTGCGGGGTGGTTGCGCTTCAATCTGGGTGCATTCTCTGAGTGAGCTCCCAGATTGGCGAAACAGTCCAGACCAGTTCTTCCTTCTTCCCCACCTGGGGCGGGAGGGCGTCCAGGGGTGGTGCATACCACGGGGCTTTCTACCTGGACTTTGATTCTGGCACCATTTTCGGCATGGGAGGGATAAACGAGTGACTTGGCCCCAAACATTACACGTCTGCTGGGCTCGATGTGTCGGGGGCCTTCGCTATTGCTGCGCAAGCAGCGCAGCAAACAAGGGTCCGACACCCTTCCCCACACACCAATCGCTGCAAGCGCGATGGCCACGTACACGATAGCCATGCAATCGGAATGTGATTACACGTGCGGGCGCACCCACTTGTTTTGACTCAGAAGCAGATGCGGTCGACGAAAGAGATGCCGATGACGATGATACTGATGATGATGCTGGTGATTGATGGTGATGATGAAGGTGATGATGATGATGACGATCACTATGACAATGATGATTATGCTAGATGCAGATGCTGATGTTGATGATGATGAGTATGCTGATGACGATGATGGTGCCGCTGCTGATATTGATGCTGATGCTGACGATGATGGTGCCGAATATGATGATGACACTGACGATGCTGATGATGAGCATTCCGTGGATGATGCTCATGATCTTGATGATGGCGATGACTGTGATGAGGGTTATGGCGATGATGGTGATGACAACAATGACACCACGGATGATGAGGATGGTGATGCTGATACCACTGATGATGATGATGATGATGATGATGATGATGATGATGATGATGATGCTGACGGTAATGATGCTGATGATGAGGATGCTCTTGTCGGTGATGATTGCAGTGGTGATGGTGATAATAATGAGTATGATGATGATACTGATGCAGATGATGAGGATGATGATGATGCTGATGATGATGTTGATTACTGTGATGGAAATGATGGTGCTGTTGATGATGCTGATGATGCTGCTGCTGATGGTGATGTTGATGATGATGATGATGATGATGACTGCGACGGTGATGGCGCTGCTGAGGGAGATGCTGATGCTGATGATGATGATGATGCTGATGCTGATGCTGATGACGATGACGACGGCGATGACGATGATCATCATGATGATGCTGATGCTGCTGCTGTTGATGATGATGAGGATGGCGATTCTGCTGTTGAAGATGATGATCACGCCGCTGCTGCTGCTGATGATTCTCAGATGCTGCTGCTGCTGATGATGATGATGACGACTGCGACGGTGATGGCGCTGATGAGGATTATCAGGATGATGCTGATGATGGTGATGGAGATAATGATGATGATCATGCTGATGAGGATGATGATGAGGAGAACGATGCTGATGCTGGTGATGATGCTGATGACGGTAATACGGCTGATGATGTTGACGATGCTGATCCTGCTGCAGATGTTGACGCTGCTGCTGATGATGTTGATGCTGACGAGGATTTTCATGATGTTGATATTATTGACCATGGCGATGGGGACTATGATGATGTTGCTGGTGGTGCTGGTGATCATTATGATGGTGGTGGGAGTGGTGCTGCTTGCGATGCTGATGATGATCACCATGATGCAGCTAATGATGATGCTGATGATCATGATGATGATGATGATGATGCTGATGACGATGATGCTGTAAATGATGATGATGATGATGATGATGATGATGATGATGATGATGATGCTGATGATGATGATGATGATGATGCTGATGATGATGATGATGCCGATGCTGTTGGTAACGATGATGATGATGATGATGATGATGATGATGATGATGATGATGATGATGAAACTGCTGATGATGATGATGATGATAGCGCTGACGATGATGATGATGATGATGATGATGCTGATGCGGATGAGGATGTTCATGGTGCTGGTGCTGGTGTTGTCGTTTCTTGTGGTAAGGGTGATGATGATGATGATTTTGACACCGACGATGTTGATTATGACTATGCTGCTGGTGGTGGTGATGCCGATGATGATGTTGACGCTGGAGTCGATCATAACGATGATGACGACGATGGCGACGCCGATGATCATGATGATGCTGATGCTGATGCTGATGATGGTGATGATGCTGATGCTGGCGATCATCATGATGCTGATCATGGTGCTAATGATGAAGATGATGATGATACGTATGATGATTTTGTTGCTGATAGTGGTGCTGATGTTGATGATGCTGATGATGAGGATGATGCTGCTGATGATGCTGCTGATGATGCTGCTGTTGCTGATGATGGTGGTGGTTATGACAACAAGAACGACGACACCGACGTCGACGATAATGAGGGTGTTGATGCAGATGAAGACGATGCTGATGATGTTGATGACGCTGCTGCTGATGATGAAGCTGATGCTGATGCTGATGATGATGATGATGCGAAGTATGATCATGATGACGATGATGCTGATGATGATGGTGATGCTGATGATGATGATGATGATGATGCTGGTGCTGCTGCTGGTGCTGATGCTGCTGCAGATGATGACGATGAGTATGATGTTGATGGTGATGATACTTATGATGAAGATTGAGATGCTGATGCCGATGATGACGGTGATAACGATGATGATGATGATGATGATGATGATGATGATGATGATGATGATGATGATGATGATGATGATGATGATGATGATGATGATGATGATGATGATGATGATGATGATGATGATGATGATGATGATGATGCTGATGATGATGATGATGATGATGTTGATGATGATGATGATGATGATGGTGATGGTGATGCTGCTGCTTGTAATGATGCGGTTGCTGATGATGATGATGCTGCTGCTGATGACGATGATGATGATGATGGTGGTGGTGGTGGTGATGATGCTGCTGCTGATGATGATGATGGTGATTGTGATGATGATGATGATGATGATGATGATGATGATGATGATGATGATGATGTTGATGATGATGATGATGATGGTGCGGCGGAGCAGGGTGAGGAGGAGGAGGAGTATGAGGAAAGGAGAACGAGCAGGAGGAGGAGGAGGAGGAAGAGGACGAGAAGCAGGAGGAGCAGGAGGATGAGGAAAGGAGGAACAAAGAAACAGGAGGAGGAGGATGAGGAGGAGGAGGAGGAGGACAAAGAGGCGGAGGAGGAGGAGGAGGAGGAGGAGGAGGAGGAGGAAGAGGAGGAAAAGGGAGGAGGAGGATGAGGAGGATGATGATGATGAGGAGGAGGAGGAGCAGCAGCAGCAGGCATGAGGAGCATCGCACACAGTTCGTGACAGTTGGGCACGGGGGGGCGCAGTGCCTGTCCGCAGGTGCACCGCGAGGCCCATCTGGGCGTGGAGCGGCTGAGGCAGCAGCTCGAGCGGGCCGAGGCGCGGCAGCTTGACCTCCGTCGCCGCAGCAGCAGCAGGAGGAGGAGGAGGAGGCGGTGGCCGAGGAGGAGGAGGAGGAGGAGGAGGAGGAGGAGGACCAGTGTAAAACCAAGAGTCATCAACGATGTTGGAATCAACCCTCCCTCCAAGCTCCCTCTTCGTAGGCCTCCACAACGGTTCATTTCCATTGAGGGAACTGCCTCGTTGGAAGGCAACCGTTTGAAGATCCCGAAGCATGCCAAAACATTGTTCTCGGGATTTCAACGCCATGTATCAACCTGACTGCTGCGTCTTGACGATCCGGAATGAGCGCCATTTTTTGGGATTTCAGCACCGCGAATCAACATAATTGTTGCACCTGCGTAATCCTGAATCCCTGCAAAACACCATCTCTAGTACGTTGATCATGGATGTCCGTGAAACTCTTGCAACTTTTGAAAACGAACGTGCGCGGCGGTAAGGCGAGAGCCACATTTTGAAAAGGAACCGCCCTCAATCCGTGAAGCTCTTGCAACTTTTGAAAACGAATGTGCGCTTTGCTAAGGCGGGAGCCACATTTTGAAAAGGACCCGCCCTCAATCCGTGAAGCTCTTGCAAATTGTTAAACGAATGTGCGCGGCGCTAGTGCGAGAGCTACATTTTGAAAACCACCCACCTTCAATCCGTGAAACTCTGGCAAATTTTGGAAACCAAGCGACTGTGCGCGGCGCTAAAGCGAGAGTCACATTCTGAATTTGAAAACCACCCGCACATTTTTAAAGCGAATGTGCGCGGCGCTAGGGCGAGAGCCACTTTTTGAAAAGGACCCGCCCTCTATCTGTGAAGCTGTTGTCACGTTGTTCAGCTTCAGAGTCATACATGGGGAGGAAGTCTCAGGCAAAACGCCCGGCCCGCCCTAAAGACTGGCCTCGGGGTGCGACAGGGAGGAGCTACCTATAAGGAGAAGGAATGGAGGAAGAGGAGGAGGAGAAGGAGGAGGAGGATGAGGAGGTGGTCGACTACAACATGTATTTGCCCAACAGTTGTTTTTCTCGTAGGATCAACGAAGAATGCGTACGGTGTTCGTATGTTCGCGAACCTCCTGCGTTTGTCTGTAGCGTCGGCGAAGGAAAATCAATTCTGGGATAAATCAATTATGTAGTCGATCTCCTACTCGGCACATGCGCGCCAAGGCGCGGTCCACCTGAGGACCCAGAGAACCCATGCTCCGAAAACATTGGGTCGGCTGGTTTGGCGCTATTTTCGGCCTCCCGGGGGGGCCCTCAACGGGCCCAGGGACCGTCAAAAACCGAGTCAGGATGAACAGCTGGCTCTAGGGAAGTGGCCCAGACCTTCGGGGGTCCACGCGCTGAAAAAGCTGGAGCGCCGGACGTCTGTCGGTGGCGAGCCCAGGGGGGAAGTGAGAAGGGGCGGGCCCTCTCAGAAGGCTCGGAAGTCCCGCCGGCCTTCTGAGAATTTTTCGGAGCCCTGCCCGAAGACGCAGAAAACTCAGAAGGCTCAGAGCGCTTCCGAGAAGCCCCGCCGCCTTTGAGAAGGCCTCCCCTTCTCACTTTCCCCCCTCGCTCGCCGCCGACTGCTGTGCGCCAGGGGGCTGCGCCCGCCAAGGCCTATATATTCCGATCAACGGGACCGCTAAGGCGAGCGCGACGACGGTGTGGGGCAGCGCCTGCACGGCCGCCTGACCTGCGGCCTGGGCCCGGCGGTCCCACCGCCAGGTGCCTCTCGAGGGCCCCGCGGTCCCAGCGCCAGGCGCCAGCCCACCGCGCGCCAGCCGCCCGGCCGCGCCCGCGCGGCGCCTACTCGCCAGCCCCGCGCTGCCTGCGGCCGCGCAGGCCGCCGCGCGGTGCTCCGGGCCCGCCGCTGTCGCGCCTGCCTTGCCGCGTTCGCCGCCGCCGCGCCCGCCGCCCGGTCGCGGCCGCCCGCGCGCGGCTCAGCGGAGCCCAGCCGCGGTGCGCAGCTGCCGCGCCTGGCTGCGCTGCGCCGCGGCGCTCAGCACGCGGTAGGCACGCGCCAGCTCCGGCGCCTGCTGGTCCTCTGGGAGGTTGCCCGCGTGGTCGAGCAGCCACTGGCGCGCCTCAGCGCTCAGGTGGCGAGGAAACTCCACGACGAACGCCGTCAGGCGATCGCTGGGGTACCGCTCGTGCTTCTCGCGCTCGGCGCGCCGCGAAGCCTCCCGGGCTCGCCGCGCCGCGGCCCGCACGGCGGCCGCGTCCCCAGCGGCCACCCACCAGCGACCGTCCTCCTCGGGGCATTCCACATCGAGGATGGCCAGCTCGAGGATCGGGTCGGCCCCTCGGCCGGCTGGCGGGCGCGGGCGCGGTCCCATGTGGAGACGCGCTGCTCGCAGAGCGGCTCGCAGCGCCGCCACCGCCCTGCGAGGCCGCCCACGGCCAGTGAGAGGTCGCCGTGGCGCTGGACCACGCCGCCGCCGTGCTGGCAGGCGGCCGCGTGGAACCCGTCAAGGTCGAGCGCCGCGGCTCAGACGGCCTTCCGCGCGCCTGGTTGCAGCAGCTCGCCGGGGCCCGCGCCAACTCGTCGCCAGAGCACTCCGGCCGCGGCAAGTGGAGGCGGCATCGGAGCGCCGTCGCCCAGTGGACGTCGTCCAGGGCGCAAGCAGGCTCAGCGGGGTACTGCCAGAAGGCCCTGGCCCCAGGCCTTCCTGCCGACAGGAAGGCTGCCTGGCCGCGGACGTGCAGTCGCCGCTTAGCCGCAGCTCGGGTTGTCTTATGCACTACCGCAACCAGGACCTTCTGTCGAGTCTGGGCCCCCAGCGCAGCCGCCAAAGGGGCGCTCGGCGCCGGCTCCGCCACCTGGCGCCAAAGCTCGGCGCGGGCCGCCTGCAGCGTTGCCGCGGCCTGGGGGAGCGCCGCCAGGGTGTCCTCATGCGAAGGGAAGCCGAGGTCGCCGCGCACCTCGTTGGCTGCCTGCGTCCAGACAGCCCAGTGGGCGGCCGCGCGGCGGGTGGCGGCACACTGGACGCCTGCGCTGCCCAGCTTCGCCGGCAGCCCCAGCAGCTCGCACGCCTCAGGCCCAAGAGGGCGCTCGGCGAGCTCCTCCCAGCAGCCGCGCAGCACCGCGTCGTCGCGGAACACCTCGGCGTCGGACGCCAAGGCCAGCTGGAGGTCGTGTTGGCTGGCGTTGCTGGCGTGGGTGCGGGGAAGCGCGCCCGCCGCCTGGCGCGCGAGGCCGCCCTGCCTCAGCTCCTGCAAGCGCGCCCCGAGGCGTTGCAAGCGCGCCGCCGCCTCGTCGAGCCCGCTGGAGTTGTCCCGCAGGCGGAGCGCAGCGCCCGCGGCATCTCCCAGCGCCCGGAGCTCCGCCCCCAGGACGGGCAGCGTCGGCACGAAGTTGCCCGCGAGCTCGGCCGGAATGGCCTGCGCCCCTGCCGGGGACCAGGCCAGCGTCTTCCGCGCGTTGAGCTCGAGCCCGAGCGGCGCCAGCGCAGCTTGCAAGCCTGCCAGCGCCCAGAGCGCCAGGTCAGCACGCACCACGACGTCGGTGTCGTCGAGGTAGGACTAGAGCTTGGCGCGGGGGTCCTCCTGCTGCAGCTCGCGCAAGAACCGCTCCAGGGCTCCCCGCTGCGGGATGGCGAAGCCCGCGGGGGACAAGGGGCCCCCCTGATGGAAGCCACGGTGGCTCCGCACCACCTCCAGGCGCCCTCTGGCTCCGCGCCAGGAGTGGTCGGCCACTTCAGGGACAGCCGCGTCCATGGCCTCTAGGGCAAGCATGCGCGCCATCCGCTGGAACGCGGCCGAAGAGGCCTCCGAGGGGTGCCCAAGAAGTACCCCAAAGGCCAGCAAGAAGCCCCAATCAGCCAACCAGATGCCCCCCCAAAACCTTCTAAGAGACCTCTGAGAGTCGTCCCAACAGACCCTCATATGCATCCTAGAAGCTCTTTCACAAAGCTCCCAGCCAGCTCCATGAGCCCACCAGGAGCCGACAAACCCCGACTGCCCCCCCCCCCGTGCACGCCTAATTCTTTCCTTCCTCCCTCCGCCCTCCGCCATCCCACTTCCGCTCCTCCTCCTTCTCCTCCTCCTCCTCCTCGTCAACCTCCTCCTTCTCCTCCTCCTCCTCCTCCTCCTCCTCCTCCTCCTCCTCCTCCTCCTCTCCTCCTCCTCCCCCTCTCCTCCTCCCCTTCCTCCCCCCCCCCTTCAACCCGTTCCGCCAGCACGTGCCCCCTTACCTTCCCGCGGATTCAAGGGGCGATTGCAGTCCCATCCTTAGGATTCAACTCCCGGGAGGTCGTCTTCAGCACGGGCCCTGGTATATCCGCAGTCGACTACCGACCTGATCCCGCTGAGTCTGGCTTCGTTTGGCTCGGTTGGGCTTGATCTGGGGCCTCATCCGGCCCAGACTGGCCTGAATCTGGCACAGTTGCCACTGACTCGGGCTCGATGCCCCCCACTCGTTCTTACGAAAACCTCCCGTGAGCTGCTCGCTGGCCATTGGTGTGCGGGCCCACGGGGCACACTTGGGCCACGCCTCGTGGGGGGGGGGCGAGTGAGCCGGGGAGCAGCGAGGGCTGCAGAGAAGGGGCCACGCAGAGCCCCTAGAAGGGGCCCGCCCCTTCTGGCCCCCCAAAGGAGGCCTCGAGGGCCCGAAGTGTGCAATGTTCTTCCCCCTCCCCCCCCGAGATCCGACGTACAGTGAGCGGCTTGAATAAGGAACGCTTACTTTTCAAAAGGGGCTCGGTCGTTCCTTAGGCTTGCATGCGTTATTTGTCGCTCCCTATGCGTTATGTATTATTTGTTCATCGTTCCCTATGCGTTATTCCTTGGAAGAAAGGGGCTTCGTTCCTTATTTTTCGTTCCTTAGGTCAGGCCGATGACTGGAGCGAGAAAATTGCACCGACGTTCAAGATTCACGCCCAGGGCCCTGGACCCCATCTGTCTGCATCATGTTTCGAGCCGGATCGATCTGCGACGGCCCCCGGGCCCGAAGCAGGGCGACAAAGCCCGGCTCGAAAAGAAAAGGCGACGCCAGGATCTCAGAGCCAACTGCGCGACGA